CGCAAACTTTATCAGCCCACTCCTGCAATCGGTTCCGAGGTCAGTTATAAATAGATTAAATAAAATGGGTCCCTTGAGGCATTCCACTAGTAACCTCCCTCCAACCTGACACAATCTGAACACAAGAGGATGCAAACAACAGGAGACAGTTTCTTTGCTCACAATTCCAAGCTTCTATTAGCCAGCACTTGACCCCAAAGCTCTTAGGGTTTGTCTATACTGCAATCAGGAGCTGTGATTGCAGCAGGTGTAGACAACCAAACTTGCTTTGATGCTGCTGGCGTGAATAATAGCAATGAAGCCACAGCAGAGAGGAGATGGCAGCCACTCAGGTGTGCACCTGGGGTCCTGGCCGGGCTCCCATGGCTTCACTACTATTGTTACTCAAGCCCTGGCTACATGTGCTGCAATCACACTCCCAATTGCAGCGTAGACACGCCCTTAGCTTTTCCTCAGGGTGATGCTACCAGTGCCTCGGTGGCTGTGTCTGGCACTTCCTTGCTGCCTTCTCTGTCTCCTTTTGTGGTGTTTCTCCTTCTTCTCTTTCTGTGTCCCCTGTCCCTCCCCCAGATCTACCGGAACAGTACCCAGGGAAAGTTCCTCTGCCCACTTATTTCAAATTCCTGAGTGGCCTCACATGTGCCTCTGTTCTGACTGCAACGTGGCCACAACTGTTCAAAAATCAAAACCAAACTCTCACAAAAAGCCCTTTCTTTTCCCCATGCTACAGGGAATTTCTCCCCTGATCCCATAGGCCTGAAGTGCAGGGTGAGTCTGGGCCACCAATGGGGTTTAGGTCCAATATGGAATTTTTAGTGCACAGTAGCAAGGTTCAGACAGCCAGTTAGCGCACAGCAGGCTAATACATGGTAGATTTACACCCCAGCTTGCCACTTACTAAGTCTGTATAAACAAGCCCCTCCTTTCCCAGGTGATTCACACTAGACTACAGACAGTGGTCTAAATGTATAAGAAGAGAGAAACTGTTTTTGCTGGTGTGCTTGATTTGAGACTTGCCTGTCTCCTTGCATCACTTTGAGATCTCAAATAAACTTTGATTGTTTCTCCACCCCGGTATGTTTATTGGCGCAAAGCACACCGGGCAACAAACCCCGCTGTTGCTGTCCTCGGGCCTCTGTGCCAGCAACACCCTGGAAGGGGGGGACAGTGAATATGGCTCAGCCGGAGGGCTGAGTTGCTGAAGACCTGCTCAAAAGAAGTGCGATTGCAGGCACTATTGGCCAGGGAAGGGGGCGCTCATGAGAGGCAGGAGCCAACCCCCTTACAGTCCCCCTGCTTCTTTCAATCACTCTTTCATTATTTATCTCCAGCAGAACAGCTTCAATGGGGGAGGCTGCAGGAGCCCCCATCAGAACATCCCTTTGCCCAGCGCTTAGAGCAGCTGCCTGAGAGGTAGGAGACCCCTGTTCGAATTCTTTCTCCCCCCAGCAGAGAGGTGGGGAGTTGAACCTGGGTTTCCCACATCACAGGTGAGGGCTTTAACCACTAGGCTAAAAGTTATAAGCTGGCCACTGCCGCCACCAGCTCTTCCCCTGTTTTGTATGGAGTGAGGCAGGTGATAAACTCATTCCTGCAAAGAACCCAGCTTAGGTGCCTAAACCACCTGACCCAAGGAGAGGGGTTCCCATTTGGCGATGTCTAGCAGAGACAGTTGTCTCCCTGCAGCCCAGACTTAGGTACCCCTCGCTGAGAGAGGGGAGGGTCCATACCTAGTGTGCTGGCTTTTATGGATCCCATTCTAAGGCGCTTCCCCCTCCCCATTTGTTGTATAGGGAGCCTGGCGCCTAACGCAGTTTTATGGATCGCGTTGTTCCTGTGAGTTTCTACACGCCAAAAAGTTAGGCGCTGCGGCTGTCAGCATTGTAGAAATTTTGCCCCTTGGCGGATCCCACCCAGTGTTGTTTGTGGGAAGGACTTTGCAATATAGGCATGAGGCCTCACCGCAAAAGCGCAACGGCATCGAAAGCGTTGCACCCTGTGCCCAGCTTCTGCCAGGATCCCGCACTCCCAAAGCCGGACCTGGGGGCAAGGCGCACACCGTAGGTTGTCTCCGAGACAAGTGTTCGTGATGCATATGAGGTATTATCTCATGGTCTGAAAGATGCTGTTGCAGCTGCAACCTTGCAGCGCACTGGTCAGCAACCAAATAAATGCAAGTTATCCCCATAGCCGACACCCGGCACGTCTTGTGTTCTGTGTTGTTGAGAAGGATCGGCGTGGGATACCAGAGGTTTGTTCACGCTGTGTGTGAGTGTAAAACACCAACAGTCAGGAAGGGGGGGTGGGGGGGTTGGATGCGGTGACAGGGGGCAGTCGGGGCAGGGGGGGGGGCTGTCAGGGGACTGGGAGCAGGGGGGGTTGGATGGGGTAGGAATCCCAGGCGGGCTGTCAGGGGGAGAGAAGCAGGGGGGGTCGGAAAAGGGGCGGGGGCCAGGCCACGCCTGGCTGTTTGGGGAGGCTGTGCCTCCCCTAACCAGCCATCCTTTCAATTTTGGAAACCCAATGTGGTCCTCAGGCCAAAAAATTTGCTCGCCCCTGCTCTACAGCATGAGCTAAAAGCCAACTGCCCATTAGCTAAGGCTGTAGAGGAGACATTTTTATCTCTCTCCCTCCTTCCCCCCCCCCCCCACTAGATAGGCCAGAACACCACACCCAGAAAGTGTGTGGATTACATATGCAGCACAGCAGTCACACAATAGACTTTTGGAAATTTCAAAGATACCTTTGTGTTTGCAACCCACCACTGTAAATAATATCCTCTCCCCACCCAGCTCCCTGAGCAGAGCTGGGCCCTCTGGCTGGATCTGGCCTTGTCACATGGGCAGAGCTGATCCAATTATGAATTTGAGGTTGGCGTAAAACCTGAATATTAACCAAGGAAGCTGAATCAGAGCATGACTAGACTGCCTACTTCCCCCTCCCTTCTCTTTGCTCTCTGGCAAATGCAGCACATTTGTGTAACAGGGTGAGCAGCGTCACTAGTCTCTCAGGGGACAGAAGACTGCAAAAAGCATGCTGTAGTGAGATTGTTGCAATCATGAATTCCACTGACATTCAGAAGGGGAAAGTAGCCATTATTGGAGGTGGTCTGGTAAGAAACTCACCCTTATCTCTGTTGTGGTTTGATTGTGTTTGCTCAGAAGGGATCCAGGACTGTGGCATGGGATGAGAACAGACTGCTGGGCAAGTCATTCTTAGCAAGACCTGAAAATGTGAAGAGCTGTAGCAAAGTGATTGGTGTTTGGGTTGTGTAACTGGTCAGATC